CCGCGGCCGGGGGGGCGGCAGCCGATGTGCCGGCCCAGCAGCGCACTGATACGATTAACCAACAATTAGCCAAGTGGGGAAGTTAATCCCCAAACAAACAGGGCTCCTCCTGCGCTGCTCGCTTACGGCACGCTAGCTTGACGGGGGGAAGGCGGCTTCAAAGCCGGCACAGCCAGGAGCCCAGATTTGTTATTCTCTCTTTCTGTGATCTTTATAATGAGGTCAGGATTTATGAATTGGCTCTCGGGAGTGCAGGGGAGCATCCCGGGAAGGGCAGAGCCGCCGGGATGGCAATCCAGCCTCCTGCAAGCAGAGCGGAGGCTCGAACGCCGAATAAAGGAATGAGATGCTAATCGCAGCTGGATACGGATCTGTTCGACCGTGTCCTTGCAGGGGAAGGTGCACACTTCGGGTTTTCCTCCTCTCCACCAAAGCCAGGACCAGCAGGGAGGATCGCTCCTACCCCGGCTCCCAGGAATGTTCGGGCTCATCCTGCTTTCCAACAAAAAGCATGTGAGAAAAAACCCGGTCCAAGAGAAACTCTCCAATTATTTCTGCATGGAGGGAGGCCATGAGAGAGCAGGGCAGGGCCCGGCGAGCTCCCGGCACTCCCAAACTCTGGCGTTTCCCAGCTCAGCTGCCCGCTTGCATTTTCGCTCGCTTCCACACCGATCCCTGTGCCGGGGCATGGGATGGTCCCGAACCGCCCCGGCTCGCCCACGCCGCACCAACCCTCTCCCTGCCGGCACGGCTCCAGACCACTCTTGCTTTTCCGATCACCATCAAGCTGGGGTTTTGTGCCCGAAGGAGACTGTCAGCCCCTACCATGCCAATCCTTTTTTTTATTATAAATGTCACATCCCGTTATGCCAACGTTGTTATGCCGCTGAATTAAAGCTTGGCGTGTCCACGTCGTGTTCTCTCCATCAGGAAAGGAATTAGTAGGACCAGAAAAATACAGAGAAAGACATGGAAGGAGTTCGTGGAAGAAAAGGCCACCAAGGTGGGGATGTCACCTCCGACCGGGGAGGTCCCTGTGCTGCTGGGAGGGGAAGGGCATGGTGGGGAAGGGTCTCTCCCAGCTACCATATTACTCAGAAAAGTGTTTTAACAGCAGATTCCCAGGGCAGGGAACGACTTAGCGCAGGCGATGGTGGGAAGAGACCCCGGGTGCTCACGGCAACAGAGGTCTGTGGGGAGCTCGTGCACACAGGGAGCAAGGATGCTCCCCGGCATCCCCAGTCTGGGACGGCCCTGTACGCCCAAATCCGCCCGTGCGCGCGCCTGCACCCACACACTTCGGAGGAAACCAGAGCCCTCTCCCTGCCTTTCTGCATTAGAAATGCAGCGGTTTGGCTTTAACAAGGCTGCAATTTTCAGTGCCGCAGCAGACGCAGCTGGGTGCGTGCACACCCCGGCTGGTACCACGCTGCCTGGCCCGTCCACCACGCCTGCTGGCTGCTGACCAAGTAAAACAGGGGGGAAGCCGGGAAATCGAGGATTACGAATGTCCTGGCACCCCCCCACACACTTTTGGCTGCCCAGCCCCAGGGATGCAGCTCCTTGCACCCCTCCTGCTGCTCCCCGGCACGTCCCGGGGGTGCCTGAGCCCTCTCCTGCTTCATCTTCACGTGCTCAGCCCTCAGCTGGGAGAACCACGGTCACCTTACTGCAGAGAGGAGACCGAGGGTTGCATCCCCGAGGCCACAGATAAACCCACCCTGAAGCCCGGCAGAGCACCCAGAGCTGGTGCCGGCTCCCATCGCGCCCCAAATCCAGAGAAACCTCCCCTTCCTGCTGGAACCAGACCAGCTTTGCCAACCCCAGATGTTGTTCCCAGCCTCCTGCTCTCTGGTGCTTCCCCGTAGCCCCAGTTCCCGGATTCTCGGGATGACTCAGGGCCCTCAGCTTTTGCTCAGAGCCAGTTTTGCTCCCCTGGCACAGCTGGAGACATGGCACAGGCGACCCTGGACCCGAGGCAGAAATGATCCCCAGCATCTCACCGCCACCGAAACACGGGTACCCCACGCCTCCAGTCTAATTTTCCGCCCGGCTCTTAATTGCCCAGCCGCTTTGCTTTTCACACGTGCAAATGACAGGAGATTAATCCGCTGGTCGAGAGCCTCCTGCTCCTCCCTGCAGGCTCCGGCGATGCACGGTCCAGCACCGTGTCCCTGGGGACCTGCCGAGCTACATGGGGCCGGACACATGCAATTGCCCCAGCCAAAGATTCCCCCATCACCCATAGCCCAAGTCCATTATTTTAATTCCCTTTAACTCTCATGGAGTTTCACCACTCCAGGTGATATTTGGCTTGTTCGCTGTCAGTCTGCGCATGAAAGTTTGATAAACTACATCCGAGCCACATACAGGCACAGAAAGAGCAGAAAAGGTGCATTGCTTTCTGCGGGGAACTTCTCTGTAGGGCAGATCCAGAACCTCGGCGAGTGGTGAGGAAAAGCTAAACCCAGGCGGATCGGTGCCCCGCAGCCGGTGGATCTGCCTGTTTGTGGACTGACGCCGCTACAAGCGCCGAAACTGGGTGTTTTTAGTATCAGCATCATGCCAGGACACCATTTCTCAGCAGGCAGTGACCGCCAAATAGATGGTGCTGCACGAATCCGCAGCGACACACTACACAGCCTCATCCAAAAAAAACGAACCGAGGCTCGTTAGAGCCCCTGGGGAAGCTCACTGCGAGTCCCCGAGGGTCCCCGAGGAGCAGAAGCAGCTCGAGGGGTCCCGTTGCCACCCCCGGGTTGGAGCAGGACCTGGTGGCCACGCTGGGATGTCACCGCTCCGACACGGCTCCAAAGAGCCTCTGCTCCGGCTTTCCTGGGTCAGCGTCGCCGACGATTTACCCCTGATTGCTTTTAGGATTATTAGGTAGCGATTACAGCTTCTTGGCATGGCCCAGCTCTTTTTCTAGATCGCTATAAATGGGGAAGGCTACCATAAAAATATATTAAAAAATAAATATCAGGCATGGTTGTAATTTAAATTAATGCTTGTCTGATACACCCTAATGCCCCAGGGAAGGACATGCTATAGGGTTATTAAGTAAGAAAAATAAACATAAATCACCTTGGTGTTTGGCTCTTTGCAAGATTTTTTAATCTAGGAGCATGAAAGCAGCAGACACAAAATGCTGCACTTAATAACCCGACCCGTTCAGGATCCGCATGCTGCAGAGACCTTCACCGGGCTCCTGCCTCCCTCCTAGAAGCCCAAGGACGGCGTTTCCAGTGCCAGAACATCCCATTTCAAAAGAGAGAGGCTCTGCTGGGTGGATTTCCAGCGAGCGACAGATACCCGCCTGGCTTAGGCGTTGCTGGCACACGCGCTCTGCCTATCTGCACCTTTCCTTAATGATCTAGGTGAGGGGTCCAAGCCAGCGGGGCGGAGGCCGTGATGACACTTGGATGGTTTTGAAACTTCAGCCAAAACACTTCTGTTAAAAAAGGAGGGTTTTGTTTGGTTTTTTTTTCTAAAACACCCCTGCTATTACGGAGGCAGAGGGTAGCGCTGGGGCGCGGGGAATGGGTTGCAGGATGCTGGGCTCCGGCCCCAGATGTGCAGCCAAGCTGCTGCAGGAGGGCACGCGAGATGTGGCTTTGCCAGGACACTGGCAGCGGGGGTATAAGTGACGGGTTTGGGAGTCGCGGTTGGCTGGCTTGCCAAGAAACTGCATGAAGGAGTTTTCCTGCTACCCCTTCTCTCCTGGCTCCCTGGCAGAGAAGCGTCAGGGTTCGTTTAGGTGAGAAAATTGCACCGGTTGAATAAAAAGATGATTTAAATCAGCTTATGGAAAGGGCTGTACGCGCTCTGATTGCTGTCTACACCGGCTCTGCCTTGCTTTCGTTCACAGTGGCTGAAAGCCGGAGCAGCAGCGGGCGGGCAGCAGCACACGGTGGGGTGGCTGCAACCCGGCGCGCCCAAAAGACCCTTTTGGAGAGCGCTGCAATTGCGTCCTGCGCGGTTACACCCCGTCTCCCAGCCCCTGGGCCTCTGTTGTAAACCGGGATGATAAATGATGGATGCGATTGCTAAGAACAACAGGGATGTTGATAGCAACCCCAGAGGCGTGTTAGGAAGCTGCGTGGATGCCGGGCTCCGCGGCTGGCTGGGTTTAATATCCCTGTGGTGTTGCAATTGCGGTCGAGCTCACGGCGGAGCTGTCTGCCAGATGAGTCACCCTGACCCACTGGCCCGGTGCTGCCCCACCGAGGGGCGGGCTGGGGTGGGCTTCATTCCGCACCCGATCCAGCCGGGACCCCCCGCAAGCATCCCCTGCCTCCTTGGTGCCGGTGGGATAACGACTGATGGTGCACTGCTGGGGTGGGAAGTGGTGCTGGGTTTGGAGGAGGAGGAGGAGGAGGGAGGCCTGAGGAGGGCTCAGGTGCGGGGGGCAGAAGGGAAGGGCAGTTTTTGCACCTCGCTGAGTTTTTGCTCACTGTGGCAGGGTGGCACTGCTCAAACACGCCGCTTGCAACACTGATTTTCCCAGCAGCCGCCGGACCACACCTGCATCGCTCTGCACGGCTGCTTCGCCGCGCTGGGCTTTGGCACGAGCCTGGTCCTTCTCCACGAGGTCCACCAGGATCTCCCCCCATTCACCCCATGGAGCCGGGGGGCAGGTGCCCCTCGATGTCCCCAGCGCTCGCTGGGGCACCCCCATCACCCCCGGTTCTGATGGGGCATCCGCAAAACGCTGCAACAACTCCAGAGAAATCATAGAATCATAGAATCATTGAGGTTGGAAAGGTGCACTACGAGAGGTTTCAAAGCCACGAGCAAAGCCCCCGAGATTTCAACGCGGGGAACAAGCTTGAACTGGCCAGAAAAAGGACTGGGTAGGACTGAAAAGGCCTTTTCCATCCCGAGACTCTACAGTTCTCGAGACTGGAAAACTTGTTTGCTCTGCGTGCATGTAGCTTTAAGATGAGCTTGCTTTTCCAGCAGCAGATTTCCGGAGGATTCTTGGAGAAACACCAAATTTTGCCTAATTCAGTCATTTAAAGGTCTGTAGCCCGATTCTGTGCGGACGAGAGCGGAGCCTGGACTGAAACCCTCCCCTCGGGCCAGGCGCAGGACAGCCGTGAGGATGCACCCACGGGGAGACTCTGCCGGCTGCTTCGCCTTTGGGGATGGGAACATATTTGCTTCAGTGGTTGCAAAGCGCCAGCATGTTCCCAGTGCTGCCACTGTCCAAGCAGTAGTAAACAATAACGAACACGTCTGTGGGGCACGTGGGCCTGAACATCTCACGCGTGTCCCGCACATCCCTCCGCGAGGCATAACCAGGCCGGCAGAGATGCTCTAAGCTTCAGTCTGGTCCAAGGGGAAAGGACGGTGAGGAGGGCAGGAGCCCGGTGGGTGCTGGAGGCAGTGATGCTCAGTGCACAGGACGTGCCACGGCTACTCTCGGACACGATGGGAGGCTCTTATGGATGAAAACACAGCCCCGCCACCTCGTATCGTGCTGCGAGGCTTTGGGAGGACAGAAAAACCTGATGTTTTCCAGCCACCAGCCAGCCTTCCCAAAAGAAGCATCCCCTCCCACCTCTCCGGGGTGGTCCTGCGTTTCAGAGGGGGTTTTTTCGCTGCTGATGTGATGCAAAGGCTGGGTCCATGCTGATACACCAGCGACAACCGGGGTTTAAAGCCCAGGGCATGAAACCGGGGCATGAGCCCAGATTTTGCGGGGTGATACCCGGTGATGAGACCCAATAGAGCCTGGTGAACTGGGAGGCAGGATGCTGCGTCCGTCGCTCCCCCAGCGGCTGCGGGGATGCTGCATCCCACCCTGGCAGCCAAGCCTCGGCACGGGGGGGGGGCACCTCGGGCCTGGAGGGCGGCCGTGGGTGCATGTGCACGCCGCAAACCTCCCCTGCAAATTCCTCCTCCCTGGGGTGTCTGATCCCCGGCCCAGCCACCTTCCTGGGCGTGGGGGCGGATCAAAGCCCGCGCGTGCCAGCCCTGCTACCGCTCTGGGCCAACTTGGCTATTTCGGCTTCACTAATCTGATGGGAGCGCTGGAGAAGGAGCGTGGGGTTGGGGGGTTGATTTTTTTCTTTATTTTTTTTTTATCTCCCCC